TGCTGGTGTATTGAGTTACAAGTCTGCCTTCTGCCTCATATGCATGTGAAAGATGAACATTGAATAAGGACCAAAGAGTAATTGATGTATTATGAATACATCATTTATACATTGATGAATTATGGTCCTGGCAAAGAATATTGAAAGTACTACGGACTGCCAAAAGAGCAGACAAAACTGTTTTGGAAGAAGTATAGTCAGAATGCTGTACTTTCTGGAAAGGACGGGGAGGAAATGATGGAGAGGCTTAACATAACAGCAACAACACTGGGTCTCTATGAGTCAGAATTGGCTGAAAAGCAGTGTGTGAGTTTCTTTGTTGTCTTTTCTTAAGTATGAAACTAAAACTTACTGTTATGTGAGTTGTTAGGAATAGACTAGTTAACATGGTAACATGTTAAATAAATCTAAACTATAAATGCATTATTTAGGTGGCAGCTAACAACAACAAGCCCTGTCATCTTTTTATAAAAAAGTAATTTTTATTTTATTTATTTTTAAAAATTGTTTTTAGTGGCACATAATCCAAACCCCAGACCTGTCATTTTGGAGAGCTGCCACTAGAGGGCAGAACAGGAAAAGGAGTGTGAGCTTCCAGTTAGAGCAGTTCTGAAAAAGAAGGCTGGTGTCTCAGAGTGGCTCAGCCACAAACCTGTGACAGAGTAAAACTCTGTCAGAACCAGAGCCCGGAGCAGCCTCAGAGAGGAGCCCCTCAGAGAGGAGTCATCTCAGGTTGGTGAGTCTCAGGTGGGGGCATCTAGATGAGGAGAACTTATGTTTTCGCTACACTCTGGGTGTTCATTAGGATGCCGCTAGTAAAGGGGAAGTCAGGGTTCATTCTGCCCCGAAGGTCAGGGGTGAAGCTGACAGCATTCTCGTCCTTCAGTGTCCCTCTCCTTGTTCTGAACAGACTGTGGAGAAGACAGTGGAGCACCTGGAGGCAGAAGTGAAGGGCCTGCTGGATCTGTTGGAGGGGCTGGCCTGGAATTTACCTGACAGGCCCTTCAGCCCGGCCCCTGACCTCCTTGAACAGAGTGAGTGACTGGCTTGGTGGCAGAAATGACAGCTCTCAAAGATGAGGCCAGACAGTGGAGCAAGTAGGGGAACCATAGCTGGCGCACTGTATGGGTGCCAGCTCATATGTAGGGACTGGTTTGGGCTTCCTTCCCCACTCCCCACCTCATGGTTGCTGCAGTCCACACCAGGTCATCCAAAGACCAGCCCCTTTGTTTGAGTTCTGCTTTCAGCAAACTCCTGTTGCCAGGAGGCTGCCTCCTTCACCGGCCACTCACAACTTAACCGCACTGCCGTTGAGCCAATTCTGACTCATAGCAACCCTAGTGCCAGGCAGAAGAGAACTGCCTCTGTGGGTTTCTGGGACTGGAAGTCTTTGTGGAGAGAGAACCCTTCATCTTTCTCCTGAGGAGTGGCTGGTGATTTTGAACTGCTGATCTTGCAGTTAGCAGGCCAGTGTGTAACCCACTATACCATCAGGGTTCCGTCAAAACCTGCCTCTTTCACTAGCCATTTCTAATCCTCATAGTCCACCAATGACTATTCTCTCCCTTCTTGGTGTTCATTTCTGTTCCACCATAAAACTCTCAGGGAAGACTGACTTTCCACCGAGGAAGGAGAGGTGTAGCATAGGAGTTCCCAGGGACTGATGGAAGCTGCCAGACATTGGGGCCCTCAGTGTCCCTTGCTGACTCCCTGTCCCCTGCTGACTCACTCATGTCTGCCCTTGTCTTTCAGATGCTTTCTAAGCACAGGAGATGGAAGCCTGGAGGTTGGCGGGACAATCGTCTCTGCTAGCAAAGCCATCGTTCCCCTGCTTTCTCATCATTGCATGAAATAAAGCAACTCCTTTGGTCCCCTTTTTGTCTGCAAACAGAAAGATCTCTCTAGCCCAGAATCAACTCTCGTGTGCTGAGGTATGCATTTTCTCTAGGTTCAGACTGGGAGTTCCCAGTGGTCAGTGCTTCAGCCCATTTTATTTATAGAAGCAGTTGGGGCAAGACTTCCTACTCAATGGGACCACAAATGAGCACAACCATCACCTGACTTTGAAACTACATTGTTACACAATCTTCAGGGAAAGTATCACACTAAAGTTTTATTTAAATTGGTGTAGATTTCACATAAAAAGTGAACAATTTAAGCTGAAATTCCAGGGGCTTCTAATAGTTCTACAATGCTGTGCAACTGTCATCACTGTCTAACCCCAGAACATTTTCATCATCCCAAACAAACCCCTGAGCAGCTGGGAAAGTTGAGGTGGATCCCTAGTCCCACCCCCACCATTCCCTGGCAACCAATAATGAATTGCTCTTTCTTTTTAGGGACTGCCTATGTTGGGTATTTCATATTCACAGATACATATACTTTGTGGCCATTTGTATCTGACATCTTTCATTTACTATAACATTTTCAAGATTCATCCATGATGCATGTAACAGTACATTACTTTTTATATTTGAGTACTTCATGACCTATATCTTCAGTGATCTCTTCATGAGAGCAAGTATCCAGAAAGGGTCATGTCGTAGAACTAATTGTTCTTAGACGGGGGCTAGAATTAAGTGTGAGCTCAAATTCACTTCTATATCTATGGTTTATATATGTCTCTGATTCATTTTAGAGTATGGTAGAGAACTTTATAAATCATCCCCCTAGAAGATAGGAAACACTGACAGAACCTCTGTGAGTCCCAGAGAAAAGCCAGCTCTGGGAAAATCTGACATTCAACCTGAAAACTGGGTGCTCCAAGATTATTTTTGATATTTTTTCTCTTCTCCATATGTTTAAATTCTCTCTCTCTCTCTTTTTAATTCCTTTTCTCTCTAGAGAACCCAGAACTCAGCCATACCATCAGAACCTCTCTGGTCAGGGCTCCCAGCCACTGCAATCCCTCCCAGTATAAACTGTAATTTACCACTTAAAAATTAAATCATTTTATTGGGAGCTCTTACAGATATTATAACAATCCATAATTCAATTAGATCAAGCATAATTGTTATATTGCTGCCACCATCATTTTCAAAACATTTTTTTCTTTCTTGAATTCTTTGATATCAGCCCCCCTTTATCCCCTTACTCACCCGCCCTACCCCCCAAGAAACCTTATTGTTATCTTATATATTATTATTCTTTGCCGTATCTGACACCATCCAATATATCCATTCATCTGTAATTCTGTTATTCGTTCCCCTTGAATGGTGTTATACAGTCATCATTGCAATTACCTCCCCTTCCTGCCACCTCTCTTCCCCTACCTTCAGGGAATCCTTCCTCCTGTTATTGTTTCTGAAGGGTTTATCTATCTTGGATTTCATGCATAGAATATCTTAATTTTACAAAAGAACATACACAGGTCTCACAAGATTAATGAGGTAAAACTAAGACCATAATAGTAGGGGGAGGAAATATTAAACAACTAGAGGAGAGTTAAGTGTTTCAGCAGTGCTATACTGCACCCTGGATATATCATCCCTTCTGTGTGGCCCTTCTGTGAGGGACTGTCCAATTATCTTACAGGTAGGTTTTGGGTCTCCACTTTGTCTGTGCTACTTCACGTCAGGTTGATTGCCTGTTTTTGAATTTCTGATACCTATGCCCATCAACACCTCATGATCACACAGGTTGGTGTAATTCTTCCATGTGTGCTTTGTTGCTTCCCTGCTACATGGCCACTTGTTTAAATTCCAGCCTTTAAGACTCCAGATACTATAGCTTTTAATAGGTGGGCATCATCAGCTTTCTTCATCACATTTGCTTATGTACCCATTTTGTCTTCAGCACATTATTAGAACAAACCAATCTTGTACTGAGGTAAGATTTAAGTAGAGGCCCAAAGTCCATCTGCTTCCTTATTGCATTTATATATGCCTATCTTTATATGTTTACATAAATATATTTATATCTATATATAATTTTTACTTTCTTCCTCTTTTTCTTTTTTCTTTCCTACTGCCCCACTATAATTTACCCATCATTCACCTCTCAGTAATTCCTCTCAGATAACTTTCAGTTGATCAAATACAACCAGGAATGCTGCACCTGCCTCATCAATTTTAGATCCATTGATATTGCCCTGTCCTTGTCGTTATTTGCTCATTGCTTCTCCCACCTCCCTGCCCCT